TTAAAATTGCTATGAGCAGTGACCTCCAACATGGAAGTCACTGCTGTGGATGAGCACTACTAACCCAACAGAAAACCTGAGGTAATATTTTGACCATATCAGGTGACCACAGAAGTCGTACAGCTGTTTAACTTAAGCAAACTGAGGTAAATGATTACTGCTGTTTTGAAAAACTTCAACATCACTCCATTCACTATCATGACTACTGTATGTTACCTTGGTTACACACCATCTTAAACAATATTCAGTGTAATAGATAGTTTACAAATGCATCCAGCCGGTTTTACGTCAACTAAATGATGCTGCTGTCGTCCACGGTGTTGTATTTCTGTGGGTGTTTTTCTTCTGTTTGTTTTTTCAACCAAACCGTTTGGTCGCTTAAACTTGTGCCGAATTAAAGGTCGTTTTCTGCTCTGTCAGAAAATGCTGTCAGTTACGTTTTGCGCACGACAATATTTTACTAACAAGTAAGTGAAAATTAAGTTGGCATATTTTTCAGTGGGCTTTGGTGTCGCGCGTTCTCTCAAGCTAGTCGTGGTCCTGATGCTGGCTAACGTTACGTGTCATACATACATACATGACCAGTCGCCTAAGAACTCAAGAACATACCGTTGTTAGACACTGGACGCTACTTAGTAATTAGAATTAAGTTAAATACAACCCACAACCTAGCATAATAAGTTATAGCTAGCTTAACCGGCTAATAACAGCTAATAACAATAGAGTTATCAACACAAAAGCTAAAGCTATTCAACTGGCCGTGCATGTGTGATAATAACGGACTGTGTTCCCTCCTACAGTAGGATAAGTTACATATGAGTCTCTCTGTTAAAAGTAAATAAAAGTTAGACTTGTCTCTGCCCAAACTTTACCTCATTCATCCAGCCTCCTGCAAACACACATGTAACTACGGCGTGTCTCGAGGGCCAAAATTGATAGAAACACTACGCAGCATAAACATTTCTATAACATTTACTACAAGTCATGGTGCAGTAACAACCTTAGTGAGTCAGGCAAAAGTTACAATTAAATAAGGAAGCTTTCAATAGTTACATATGTGTATTATTATTATTATTATTATTATTATTTTATTTTATTTTATTTTATTTTATTTTTTTACAGTCTATGTGTATTAGCTGAATACTGGTTAAGTTGGACACTATACCATACAGAAGGATGTTATTTTTCCACACGCTATTGGCAAACTGGGAGACCTATGTTTTCAGAGTGGGACACTTAAAAGATATTCTATTCTTATTTAAGTGCAGACATAATGAATCAAATATGCAATAGTAATCTAAACAACTATATACATTACTTTTTTAAAGGAGGGGTGCAGGTACAGTACATTCATTCCCCCTCCCCACTATCCTCACCACCCCTCCCTCCCTCCCTCACCCATCTACAATATGTTGTAATGGGTTTTCATTTATTTCGTATCAATTTTAAAACAAGGAACCTTCTTGAAGTTTTATTATAATGAATTCACCCAGGCTAAGTTAGGTAAATCTGCACGTCAAAACAGCCAGTGCAAGTGAATGCCTCCCATTTTCCATGAGGCCATTCTCCTTGCCACATGGCATGGAGCCTCGCAATAATCCACATGATCCAATCCTTGGTCTTCTTGGCATCATTTTCACCACCATATCTGGCTTTGCAAATATTGTTTTTTTTAAGGCAATGCATGAAAATTATCCATCACTGGTTAGGTGTTAAGTCCTTCTTGAAATATGTAGTTATCTAGCTAAATGTATGAGAGACACATAAAAGGGAACTCAGATCATCTATTAGAATAACTTAAACGCCTGTTACAGTTTGCCAGTAAGACACTGTCCCAGATTGAAAATATGCTATGGGCGAACTGGGACAGTGTCAAATCACGTTAAAGACAAAAGATCAATATGAATGTTTTTTGAGATTTTTGTAAAATTATGATTCACCATTACATCCCATAGCAAAATATATAACAATTATAAACTGTCCATGCTTTTTAAACATTCCTATAACTTTAACATTGTTCACCTCAGAACGCCATGTCACTTTGCTTTCAGTCATGGTTCACTGTGAGGTTGTTGAACGTGCCGTGTCATGCCACCAGAAGTGATGTCATACCCACAGAACCTTTTATCTTTAATCACATGCTTGCTTATAATGAGCTCAGTGATGGAAGTATATACATGTACAGATAATAATGGTTAAGCTTATCTGTCCCACTTAACCCATTTTCCCACTTCACCAGTACTCATCCTACACCAGAGCTTTGAGTCAGTGTTATCAGCTGGGTCAGTAATTGCCTCATATAATGAATTCTGCGCTTGCATTCAAAGAGGGATATGGGGAAATCATTCTTACATTGACTTTTATCTAATAAGGTTAGTCCCACTAAGAATGAGGTCGCACTTTCAAGGGGACCTGAATAAGCTACACTTTAAAAATACAGTAATACAGAATAAGAACAATAATATATATTCAATTTAACCAAAGTAGCAAGACATGTTAATTGTGCTTTTGCTATTTGTCAACTGAGTTTTTATTTGGATTTTTCTATTGACAGTAATTATGCATTTTCAAGCATAAAAATACAATTTAACATTGGATTTAATTACTTTATTTTATTTAAACAAATGAAAAGTTGTCCATTTCCATGGACAAATGGGAAATAAAGCTTCAATTTAATTAAATTTTCAGATTAGATATATTATAAGGATTTTTTTCTTAAAACATTGTGATATTTATTTGATAATCAATGCTGCTGTATACCCAAGACTTAAGACTCTTAAGGCTGAAGACTTAGACCTCTAAAATGTATCAGTTCATTTACTATACCTAGCCTATATATGCAGACAACAAAGAGACAAACCAATGACCAATCGTAAAACTTACTTTTTTTTTCTTTTTTTTTTTTTTACAGAATAATGTCAATATAAGCCTATTATCCACCACTGCCACACTGTATTGCATAAAAATTTAAGTCATTGCATCAAAATGATCCAAAGTCAGATGTGGAACCATTTTAATCACATTAACCATATATGAATGTTGGTGTTTGGCTGCTTTATATGGATATGAACATCTCATATATACTGTTAAAACATGCATCATTCGCCGGTTTTCCCCTGGGACTTGAAGGCAACATAATTACAGGACGGTTGCGGCCACCTGATTGGAGACCCGTGTGTCTGCTCTTCTCTCATTGGCTCTTTACATCTCATGCTCTGTCTGCAACCCCAGCGGGTACACCAAGCTGCGCTTGCGCCCTACCACTCAACATCGTCAGGTTTGCTGAATTGAGGCAGGGAAGTGACGGAAATGAGAGGATTTTACGTTCAAAATAAAAGAATGAAAACTAACGAGCATGTCATGTCAGTGAAATGTTTGGAGCTACTTTATCTTCATTTCTCAAGAGTTTGTCAGTGAATGGAGTGCACGGTAAATGTAGTTTGCTTTTCTAGTCTTAGCGACCACTCCAGGTGCTTTACAAGTGTTCACAATTCATTACAACATTTACACACACACTCATACACTTGTGGCAGAGGCTACCTTGCAAGGTACCACCTGCAAGGTAGCAATGGAGCAAAACCCATTCACACACACAAGCTGGGTTTCAGCGTCTTGTGGCATGAGCCAAATATTGACCTTCTGATCAGTAGATGACCAAGCTACCAGCCGAGCCCCAGCCGCACCAAGTAGTGAAATAATTTAAATCCAGAGCTGTTTGCAATAAAGGACGTTAAGAATCCATTTCAGAATTATTATCTTAGCATGACCATCAAATGTCCATACAAACAGTTTGTGTTGTTACAGGTCAGGGCCCTTTGACACTGAACGCTTAGCGGCCCATGAAGGTCTTCATTCAAAGTTAGCATTTTAGCGCTCCCGGCTCTCTCGTCTTGAAGTCAGTGGGTTTTTGGTTGGATGCATGAGCAAGCTTAACAGATTTTCACATTTTGTTTTATGAAATGAAATATATCAGTTCATACAATCCTCATGAATTTTGAAGCTTATGTGTCTTAAAAAGGTGGATGCTAACAAATGGCTAAATGAGACTACAGAACGTCATCACACCAAACATGGCTTTACAGCTTCATTCTGGCAGGGATGTTATGTCGTGTGATCATAGTGTAGTTTGTTTAGCCTAACATTAGCTTTTTACTTCTGGTGATTGCATTTAGCCTAACAAATCATAAAAGCGGTGTTCATTTGTGAAGATTATCTTGAACAAGTATGTAAGTATCATGAATGTTTGTTTGCCACAGACTTTGTATTCTGCAGTAATCCAAAATCCAGTGGAAAATCCCATAGGCTTTTTGACAAGGGAACCAGGGTGACGCTAACTTCCATGTTGGCAAAAAGAAACTATAAAAAGAAACATATTATACTGATCTAGACTTTTTTAAGTTTCTACTTTTTTGGCATAGGGTAGGGACATTCAACTTTAAATGGTCTTTTTTTTTTTGTATTTATTGTAAATATCCTCAGAATCCCAAAATCCGCAAATGGGTTTTAAAGGCATAATTATTTTAAAAATCTCTTAAAATCTTTTTTCATCGCCAGAGACTGTGAAATATAGTCATTTATGGTGATGGGAGGGTCCTGCATTATCCCCAGTCACTCAGGGAGGCCTGAAAATGGAAAAATACTTGTAGATCCAGGGAGGGTCATGATATTAACAAAATAAATAAGAGAACATCCCAGCCACCCCCTACTCAGATAAATAAAGTACAGTCCCTTAGAGGCTTTATTTTTTTGTATTTTCAGGAGAGGGTGACTTGGACTCATGGTTGGAGTAAATAAAATGCAAACACCATGTCATCTCAATGCAAATTAGCAGATGCATTGCTTAACAGCATTCTGCAATTTGGGGAGGTACCTTGAGAAGGGCCGCACTGCGGGGGTTTTATTTTGAAAGTCCACAGCGGAAGCTCCCCATGTTATCGCGGGGTTTTGACAGCCGGCGAGGCTTTGAAAGTGTTGAGTGTGACTTCAGTCCAGGAGAGACCATGTCCGCCGTCATAGGCAAACTGTACTCACCTCTACTCTCATTTAAAACTCATTCTCCATGAAATAACAGTAACGCGGGGCCTCAAGGATGGCCAACTCGGTGAGTAGCCAGTTGGATGATTTGCTTGCCACTCCGCTTTAATGGAATATATTTTTGGACATTTTGCCGCTGTGTCACACCGGAGGAGTCGGTGGTTTTTTACTCCGTAACGAGGATTTTCAAGCCGCACAGCTAGCTAGAGCCGATACGTGCCGCTGTGACTGAATGGACACTGATGCAAAATTCCGTTCACAAACCTGGCAGCTTTAATTTTTGTCTGCTTACCACCAAATGACGCTTTTTCTAATGCGTTAATTGAGGCAATTTAAAATTAAAGGAACAGTCCATTATTCAATTTGGCATAATGATACACGCAGTGCGTAAAGTAGCACGGAAATTGGCGAAAATACCAACTTTCTCGAGGGTTTTTTGCTATTTTTTATGACACCATGCAACGTTAACATCCCCCATGGAAGAAAGCTGTAAAGCAAATTTTAGTATAATTAAGTTTTGGAAATGTTAACTGCTCCATGAGTGGTATATATTATGAATTTACCTGAATGCTTTAGCTAATAATAAAAAGTAATAGGCAAAGTCAGATTTACTCAGGTGTGTAGATTTGCGGGTAAGAAATGTTTTATTAAATTAGCAGATTTTTGAATGGAGTTTGGTTTGATGCTCTCCATGTAGGAAGCAAGCAAATAAAATGGGCCGCCTAATAAAAGGATACAACATAGAAGGGTTTATTTAACTGCACAGTATGAAAATCTTTGGCTAAAAATCATTTTTATATTTTGTCATACACGTGTGTTGGTTCATTCAAAGTGTTTTCTCATCTTGAAACTAAGTAGTAACTCTCCACAACTTAATTTCACAGGGTGCTGTTCAGGTGAAACTAGAACTTGGTCATCGTGCCCAGGTCAGAAAGAAACCCACTGTGGAAGGCTTTACCCACGACTGGATGGTGTTTGTCCGAGGACCAGAGCACAGCAACATTCAGCACTTTGTGGAGAAAGTAGTTTTTCACCTGCACGAAAGCTTCCCTAAACCAAAAAGAGGTAAGACACTTGCTGTTTCTGCTTCATCCTGGCCCCATTGTTTGTTGTGCGTTGGCATTATTTATGGGATTTCTGTGTTGTGAGAGTGGGAGCAGGGTTTGAACACATCAGCATCAAGCATCCACAGTCCCCATGTGTCCCTGATGGAGTCATTGAGTCCCTGTAGCTGACTCTGACCTCTGACACCTATTAAGGGTGGCAGAAAAAGTGAATTTACTTATTTTTTAGTTTCTCTGTACTGTTAGAATAAATTACTGAAATGCACACTCTGGAGAAATGAGAGTCGTTTTGATGTGAGCAGTAAAATAGTGCATTTTATGTCCTGTTGCAAAGTGTCTGTACTATATAGTAGCAAATGAAACGACATCACTGTGTCTGAGAAGACAGAATGGGAAGGTTGGAAATAATGTTTAATGATGCAAAGTGCATTTTATGGTGTGTTGATGGCGGTTTGGCGCATTTAAGTGTTTTCCTCTAAATGTCACTCCGTACGCACGTGTTGGTTTGAAACAGCACGATGCTGCTTTTGGATATAAAACCGACAAAGCTTGTATGGAAGAGCTGACGTCGGCGCTGTGAAGGTGAAGCAGTGGCAGGTGTTATTGTTGGTGGTGTTTGTTGGTTGCAGTGAGCCTGAAACACAAGTATTGCAAACTAGGAAGTCTTTAAAGTCAAGGTCAGACTGATAATTGCTATTCATCATGAACTTGTGCATTCCTCCCGCTACAAATGGATGTATACACAGACTCTGCATATGCACACGTGCTATGAGCTGCTGAAACACTGAGTGAAAGGAGCAATTTTGGAGGCTCATTGGAAGTCAAACTATGCAAGAGTATTTTCACAATTGACGGTTTTGACTGTGAAATTAGTAAAATAGTCAGAAAAACTATAATTAGAATTTCCCAGAGCCCAAAGTGATGTTTTATTTTAATTTAATTTTATATACTTTATTAATCCCTGAGGGGAAACTCAATTTTTCACTCTGTTGTCAATTACACACAGGTCCGAACACACACATGCACAAACTGGACCTATACATACATGCACTAAGTGGAGAGATGTCAGAGTGGGCTGCCCATGACAGGCGCTCCAAGCGGTTGGGGGGTTCAGTGCCTTGCTCAGGGGCACCTCGGCAGTGCCCAGGAGGTGAACTGGCATCTCTCCAGCCACCAGTCCACGCTCCATATTTTGGTCCGGACGGGGACTTGAACAGGCGACACTCTGGTTCCCAACCCAAGTCCCTATGGACTGAGCTACTGCCACCTTACCAGCAGTGTTTCCCCATATGACAAAGACAAGAATCAAACCCTGTGATCTGAAAAGCTGGAAGCAGCAATGGTTTGGAATTTCTGCTTGCAAGAATTCATATAACGATCAACTGATTATCAGAATCGTTGCAGACTAATTTTCTGTTGATCAATACAATTGAATAATCAACAAATCATTGCAGGTCTAGATGTGTCTGATGAAATCTTGGTTGCAGTCTGTGTCAGACTGTAAGATGAATCCATGGTGAATCGAACACTGTAAACTAAAAAAATATATAAATGCAAGGTGACAAGCAGCATCTACATGAACATGTCTATGGGCACTTGCAGTGTTGGGTCGATCAGTGTATTCTGTGTAACCTCATGCTGTTTTCTGATTGGTTTGTTGGCAAAGATGGGTCATTATCACATTGGTCCTCCCTTTTCTGACCTGGTCAGACTTTTGATGCATACTGTCTCCGGTGTTTCTGTCATGATGTGAGCTTTCACACAGTTAGTGTATAAGGGCTTTAAATCCTTGTGGTCATGTGTAGTTTGGTGCAAATGAGTCTTAATGGAGTGTCTGGCCAGGAAAGAATCAATTGAAATATCTTTTGCTTAAGGATTTTTGACCCCACTTAAATCTTTTGTGAGTTTAGGGACAGTTTGGCGAGACTAACGCTTGGCATCTGCCCAATGCTGATTCCTCTTGTTGCTCCTAATGTGAAACTAGGGATGCACCAATTGTGACATTCTGGGCCGAAACTGATGTTTAAAAAAAGAACAACCAATACCAGTGTTTTTTTGTTGTTGTTTATAGTTTGTTTTTGTTGTTATTTCCTCCCTCTTTTGTGCCAGGGAAACAAAGAAATCTTCGTTATAAAAAAAAAATAACTGTGTTTTTAAGTCATCCAGCCCTTCATTATACTACCTTTGAATGAGCATGAATTCAATCATACATGTTTATGAAACAACCTTTAAGATAACCCTTTTTTCATGGGAATAACATTTTCTTTTTAAAAACCACTTCAAAAACCTTTTCACCATGTATAATGTCTCATAATTCCCTCTCTAATATCTATCTTATATTGCTGTGAAAACCAACACATTTCTCCTTCCAACAACTATATTTATTCTAGTTTCTCGACAAAAACTACGTTGTTTTTTTTTTTTTTTAGCACACAATGAGAACTTTTTAATTTACCGTACTAACTAGCTCTCCTCCTGTTGATATCAACACGGATTTGTTGTTCACTTTGTAGCATTATCAAGGAAACCAAAGGATATGTCCCCTGATGCGTCAATATTGAGTTTACTGCATCCTTTTGTCCCGAATGTGTCCCATGGAAGATCTCTCTTCGTCCCAAACACGTTTTCTATTGTCCACAGGACACCAGAGTGACTTTAGTCTGGAGCCCTGCTTTTTAGCCGGCTCAAAATTGATGTGACACAACTGAAAAACATTGGCCACTGCCATTGGTGAAAGTCATCTTATTCGTTGAAAGGTCGATGACAGTCAACGAATTGAATCTTGACTGATACCAATGTGTGGCCGACAAATCAGTACATCCCTAGTAATTAGGATTAGGAGTAAGGCTGGGCAGTATATAGGTCATATTGATATCATATGAGACGAGATGATGTCTTAAATTTTGGATATCGTAATATCATCAGTGTTGCCTTTTCCTGGTTTTAAAGGCTGCATAAGGGGCCGTACACATGCAGCGTGTACATGCAGCATGCTTGGAAAATGCAAGGTCGGGCACTGGGCACTACTCTTGTGTATTTTTTATGCTCTCAAGAGCATGGAGGCAGGTTGCGTCTGAGGTTGCTAAGTGACCATAACCAGCACCGTATCATAGCCTACTTACCAGAAAAATGCTGACATTAAATTTCAATGTTGAACTCTGTTTATCTCAGGGTGCCGCCGTTGTGCCCTGAAAAATAGATGCTTGGGGATGCGTGTGCTCCGCGATGGTGTTGGTCTGGTGTCGCTCTGGTGTTTGAGCATGCCTACCATGCGTCTATATTGAAAAAAAAATTAATTGTACGGCGCCTTACAGTAAAGTGATGTCATTTTCTGAACCTACCAGAGCATTGTGGCTATTCTATTATTTGCCTCTCTCCACTTTGTGGTTATATTCACATTACTGATTATTTATCAAAAATCTCATTGCGTAAATATTTTGTGAAAGCAGCTATAGTCAATCCCATGATTTCATCACAGTATCAATATCGAGGTATTTGGTCAAAAATGTCATGATATTTGATCAGTCTTCCTAAGCAGTTGGGTTGCATATTAACATTTGATTTTTAAACTCCACCTTTCTCAGTGATACAGTGGTAGATTATCTCAGTGGTTTATATTTTTTAGGTATGCGAATCAGGATAAAAAATGTATGTCTGTCATTTGTGCCTTTTTAGAAAATATCCAAGTCAGTGATGACCATGTAAGTTTGATGGTCCCACACTGGCTACAACTACATGCAGACTGTCCAGAGTACCTGCAGTACCTTTTTACATGAATGTGTCCAGGGCTGCAACTAACACTTTTTTTCATTATCAACTAGTCTGCCGCTAGTTTTCTTTATTCATTTGGTCAAGAAAAAGTCAAAAACTGGTGGTGACTTAACTAAATGTTTTCACTATAAATGTATCCCTGAGTTTCTTCTCTCAGCCAGTGAGCATCCTGCTGCAAAGAGTCATCAGCCTGGCCTCAGAATTTTGTTGTCTCACGGTTCTTATGCTGAGTCATCGGCTTTTCCACCCTGCCAAGATGAAATAGGGAAAACATTACCACAATACTTACTTGTTTATGCACGGAACTGGCATAAAATATTGTCTGTTGGTGACATCTGACTAAAAATATGAGTCTATAGATTCTCCTCTCACTTTGTATTAGATGGTATCAGAGCTGAGTCTTTGACAGTAAACCTCTATATAACTGCCCTCGGGTAGACACTACAACCAGTTTGTGTTAAGTAAGTGAGTAGTTTGGTTGTTCCATGTAGAGCTGCAGTTATTAGTTGATAGCCCAATTACTCCATCAACAGAAAATTAATTTGGCAACTATCTTGCTGTAAAAAATTATAAAACGTCTGGTTCCAGCTTGTCCAGTATAATTGCTGCTTTATTTACAATTATTTGTTTTCTACAGTTGTGGGACAAATCAATACTTGAAGATGTCACCTGGCATTCTGGCATGCTGTGATGGACAGTTTCTCACGACTTCCTGATATTTTATAGACAAAACAATTCGTAGATGAATTGATAAAATAACCAGTAGGTTAATCAATAATGAAAATCATTATGAGTTGCAGTTATCAAGTTATTTGTTTGGGATCAAGCTTGAGCATGATGAACATAAATGATGGACATAATTTGCAAGGTTGAGGTCACTCCAAGCAGCTGGAGACCCAGCCATATGGAAACTGGTCCAGAAGTACTTTGTAATGCAGATTGTATTAACTGTGATTTTTTTTTACCCCTTTCATAAAAATATAAACAGGCCATTGTCTTTAAATGTACAGGACATTAAAATAAAGTCAGTCATAAGTTTTTGTTTCCCATCAGTGAAGCCTTTGAAAAGATTAAAGCTCTAATAGATAAGGACACAACAAAGCATTTTTGGCTTGAAAGATTAGCTGGGATCATCTTTTTTCTTTGGCTGGAACAGTTTGTTTTTTACACTTATGATCTTGTAAAATGGAAATCAGGGTGGAATAGCATTGAAAGAACTCTGCTGCTCAG